ATCAGCCTTAAGCCCACATCTTTTTGCTTTAGCCATGGATGTTCTCACTAGACATTTGCAAGAGGTTGTACCCTAGTGTATGCTTTTTGCTGATGATATTCTTCTTGTTGATAAGACCAGAGAGGGAGTTAAAGGTAAACTTGAATTATGGAGGTCAACCTTAGAGTCTAACGGGTTTCATTTGAGTAGATCTAAAATTGAATATATTGAGTGTGATTTTAGTAATAATAGATCTAGTGAGGGAACTGTGACTTTAGGTGATCAAGTCGTTAATAAGAGCACTCGTTTTAGATATCTTGGGACTATTGTTCAGAGTGATGGCGAAATAGATGGGGATATTATTAATAGAATTCAAGTTGGATGGTTAAAGTAGAGGAATACATCGGGCTTGTTATGTGATAGAAAAATTCCTCTCAAACTTAAGGAAAAATTCTATAAGATAGTAGTGAGACCTGCAATGTTTTATGATGCAGAATATTGGCTATTAAAAGAGAAGCATAATATTAAGTTAAGTGTTGCATAGATGAGGATGCTCAGGTGGATGAGTGGCTTTACTCTTAAAGATAAGATATGAAATGAGCATATACGTGAAAAGGTTGGAGTATCTCCAATAGAAGATAAGATTAGAGAGGTCTCCATAGATGGTTTGGTCACATAAAACGGTGGCCTTCCAATTACCCGGTAAGGAAAGTATATGCATTAAATTTGACTTATGTTAAGAAAGGTAGAGGTAGACCTAAAAAGACTTGGTTAAAAAATATTAGAAATGTCTTTCTTTATTAAATTTAGATGAGAATTTAACTCTTAACATGACACAATGGAGAAAAAGGAATCATGTAACCGACCCCACATAGTGGGATAAAGGCTTCTTGTTGTTGTAGTTGTATGCTCTCTATTGCAGAAAGAGGTACTTGATCGGGAGCCAACACCACTAGAGCTGCATACACAAACTCGTCAACATCAAGTTGATCATCAGTAGGTTGAAGAGAAGATGAAAAAAGCTCATGTGACTATCGATTTTTGAGTAGTAATCATAAATAATATGCAAATATAAATGATTTTTATGTACTTAATCTCTTGCAAGATGATTTTGTATGACTTTGGGAGGGTCAACCGTCTACTGCCGAGAGATCATCTTCAGGATCCACAATACTCTGAGTACCACACGTGGTCACAGGCTATTGGAGGGAGACAAAAGGGGAGGATGTATGTATTAGGTTCTCAAGCATATGCATACGAGACTAATACATCCACCTCAACATCTTTTAGTGAATGGAGTTGATGATATCGTCAGTCAGAGGGTTGCTGCTCTCACTAAAGAGATAGAGAAGATGAAATGGATACAGGCTAACAGATTGACACAACAAACTGAGATGGAGGCAAAGTTGTGATCATATTTAAGCCAAAATAGAAAAGAAAAGGTCAGGAGCCTATGCATGAATCAGAGGGGAGCGAGGAGACAGAAGATGAGTAGAGAACTTACTGTTTAAGTTGTTGTAGTAATTTTGAGAACTTATTTTGAAAACTTATTGTGTTGTCTAACTTAATGTAGTAGTATGGAGAACTTATTGTTTCGTTTTGAAAACTTATTTGAACAAATTTTTATATTTTGAAGTTGTTTATATTGAACAATTGAGTTATGAAGTTGATAGACTTATGTTTTGATTTGTTTTATTATGTTTTGAGTACCATTAATGTTCTATGATGATATATTTTGTTGTGTATACATCCATAAACTGCAACAGATTTATAATGTAAATGTTTTTGTGGAACAGTAAGGAGCTGCCATACTCTTTTTTTGTAATGCTACAAGTTTCCGACAGAAATACCACAGGAAACCTTCGATATGGGGCAACGGATGAATTTCGACGGATAAATGCAGCCAACCACCGGTACTTCCGGCGGTTAGACTCCGGAAAGTTCCGGCAGCAATTCTCCCTTCTTCTTCACTCCATCCGCCAATTACAATGAGTAGAATCTACCAAAAATCAGTTGGAAGGCCGTCGGAAATGCTTTCTAGCAAAAAAAATCCGTCGTTATACTGGTGGAAAAAATTCCACAGGAAACATCCAAATCCACAGACAATTAGCAATTTTCGATAATAGACGATTTTCCTGCAGTGTTTCTAATACTTTCTAACCAAGTATGAGAAATATACCATTTACACTATAAGCTAAAAAAAATAAATAATAAATTCTACCTCTTAGTATCAAAAAAAACTAATCCTATCATTTATACACTGAAATAACCAAAATGATTGTGTGCCAATAAAGTCAAAAAAAAAAAAGTTAACTTGCAAATCTCATCTATAACACACTTCGTGCCAAAATATGTCAATCGCATCTGTAGATGCAAGTATTTCAATACAACTTCAAAAAAGAATAAAATATCAGGTTTGGTGCATTGACATCAACTAATGTGGATGTCAAATGCAATTTGTAGTGCCTACCTTTAATGGAATGCTGCAAACCATGACTGGAGGTCGTGGACAGCTTGACTCACTTAAATGTTCCATATAACATTTTTCTGTCATGGAAATGCATAGAGCGTAGAAGTAAAGATTTGTGAATTTCTCTAGTATATTCATATTATCTTCTTGTGCTGCATCAAAGGGGATACAAGATGGAGAGAAAAAGAGACTAGGAAGGAGCAGCAAGAGACCATAGCTAATAGAATGTGATATTAGACAAAACGATTACGCTAAACTTTTATAAAACCAAATGTAACAAGTACAACAAGAACCATTGGAGAAGGAAGTTTCATAGAGCAGCCATTAAATATTAGGGATAAGGCAAATGATCAGAATGATAAATTAATGAGAACAACAACAAATCAAGTAGTTCCCCCATATGGCAGCTTTTTTCTCACGATGTCTTCTCTTTATATCGCTCGTATCTCACATGAAAAACTCTATTCACAAATGCATGATAAAGAGTATAATCATCAATAGATTATACATCAGAGATCATCAATCTCATAGCAAATTATTCCGACCATAAAAGCTAATGTATGCAAAACAACATTTGCAATCTTCACATACCGCAATGCTCATTCTTAGAAACCATCTGAACAAGTACAACTTATTTCTTTGCAGGCCTTAAGAATTTTAAAAATGCAGCCAAATCACACAATTAGAAGATTTAAGATTAAAGTTTGCATATAATCTCAAAGATCTCAACAGGAGAACATAATAATATGCAATACAAAAAAGGAAAGGATGGCTGTCCTTGCAAGACAAGAATAATGGGTAAAAGTAGACATAAAAGAAAACATGCAAGCTGCTAAACAGTTATAGAGAATGATGCATGCAGCCATGAACAAACCTCCAACATAGAATTGATCACATATCTGCCGTAGCGAATAATGATCTCCAGTTCCAGTATCATAGTTGTCCCCAAATATGAGATGCTGAAATCCAAACTTCAGTGCTTGCTTCAGTCTATGCAGTAAAACATAATGATAAAAGTTACAAGGTTTGGATTATCAAGAAAATGTCAATTATAAGAACTTCCTAGCCCTCCACTTAACAAACTCTTAGTGGCCAAAATTTTCAAATAACAAGGGTCCACTAAGTAGTCAAAAAAGGCAATGAAAAACCATCCTGAAACTTAACAAATTCAATTTATAAAATTTTAGGCTAATTCACATATTTGGGCACAAGAGCACAACAACATAAAAAATGAAGTTCTTAATTCTTTTTAAAGGAAAATCAAAGGCAATGACTATTGAACACCTTGGACCTCATGCATGTATACCTTTTTAATTGATTCTGGTGATCATCAAAGAAGATAAGCACCTGATTGATATCTGAAACTCCATGCTTCTCCAAAACATTTCTCCAGTTGATGCCGCCAAAATCCAAAAAATCTTTCCCAGCAAAATATGTGCAGTTTCCATCAACATAAGCTGGGCCCTTCATCAGATACTTTTCAGGATGGCGAGGTGAAAGTGAAATGATCGGAGTTTTTGGCATTGCCTGGCGTAGGACCCAAGTGGAATGCCCTTTGAAAGCTCCACTCTCAACCATTAACAGTGGCTTTAGCCACCTTGCCATGAACCAAAGACCAAAGCTGTGATCAAACCCCATTCCATGTGTGTTGTTTTTTATTGGTCGAGTCTCATAGATTGGCACAAACTCTTCCAATCCCTTAATCAAATCCTTGGGACCCCATTCCACTGTTTTACCATCTTTTGATCTACCTTTTGGAAAATAACAAGAATTTTAAAAAGAAGTGAACCCCGTTTAAAAATATCACAAAGAACTGAAATACTATGAACAGAAAAAATGATAGAAACGAAGATTTTAAAATTACGCAGAAACTAAAGTAAAAACCTCTAACCTAGAGAAAAAAGGCATCACATACTTAGATTAAGTAAGCAACAAACCAACTGGAAAAGCAGCAGAAAACAATAATCAAATGCACAAAGATCAAATAGTACCCATAATCTTGTTTAGAAGTGATTTTTTCCTGCTTGCTTTGGTTTCCTTTTCCGTTTTATTTTTGTATTTCACATCAAACGAAAACATATTCAAAGGGTTTACAGGTTTCTCTATGCAAAAACAGGAAAAGAAAAACTATGATTGGATGTACAAAACAAGTCTATAGTATCAGGGAAGAAAATTAAGCCGCTAAAAATGATTTAAGACATCATTAGGGTTTTCATAAAACACGGTAAATTTTCAACAACACCGAAAACAGAATATAACTATTAAACCTTAACTTAAAAAAAAAAAAGCAAAAAGTAAAAGAACAAAAACAAATCGAAACATGAAAAACTGAGAAACAAATAAATTCAATCGATCGTAAAAACCCAACCGCGAGACCGGAAGAAGAGAAGAAATCTTACACCAGGGCACGCCAAGGATACCAAAATCGGAGGCTAATCCATCAATGCTCCCTGAAAATATGGCCATGCGGTAGATGGAATCGTCTCGGGCCTCGCATTCGCGGCGGCCAAGGCGATGCCTAATGAAGAGAGCTACAAAGAGGATGAGAAGAAGAGCCAGTTGGAAGGAACAAGAACGACGACTTTGCGCTATCCGAAAGGAAAGCAGTCTCGAAAGCCGCGCACCGAGAGGGCCGTGGCTCCTCGTCTTGGACTCGTCGTCATCCTCAATGGCTAATGCGGTCCCTCCACCGCCGCCAGTGGCCTCCTCAACTCTCGGGGTGCGTGGGCTACTCGGTGCCGCCCGCCGAGAGGAAAGCATGCTCTCCGGCAACCGCAGCCTATTGAAGTCGAGCGAGGAAGCTTACTCCGAACACTGGTTTTGTCGCCTCCACAGACGAAGCTGTTCCGATTAGATTTTTATGAAAAACATATTAAAATTTTTTAAATGCCATTTTAATAAAAACAATAATAATAATAATAAAAGTATATAGATAATTTTAATATGAGCAAAAAATGAAAAACTCAAAAACGTGAAGTGAATTTTCATTTTTTTCACAAAATGTAAATCAAAATTATATCTTTTGAAAATGTAAATTTAATTTGCATTTTTTACATTTTCTCCCTTTCTTTTAATTTTAAGTGTTCTATTTTTTTTCTTTTTTAATTATAACTTATTTCGAAATTAATTTTTTTAGTTTAATTACGAGTCTGTGCGCAAGCACGACTGTAGGTGTAAGGTCATATTTGCAAACTAGTTGAAAAGTACAAAGCAATTTGGATTATGTTTTTTTTTTTTTGAAAATTTGAAAATAATCATTTCGAATTTCTTTTAATTTTGTAGTCAATTTCGTCATTTTGAATAATATATCACCGTGTGTGGTTAAAATATAATTCTCTAATAGATTCATATTATGAAGCTGTAGTTTTTTGTCCCGACTACCATAATCAAATTTAAAAAAGAATTACATATAATTTCAAAGAATCAGAATGTCATTCAATCGTATATTTGATTATGATAGTTAAAATGCTTTATCATCAATCATTGTAGTCAGAACATCATAGTTAACTACATATGGCCCCAAAGGGTCAAAATGATGTTCAAATACATACCAAACTATAATAATCTAGATACATTTATCATTAATTTCATATTCAAGCATATTGATATTGAATGATATATTTCTCTAAAGAGATAGGATATCGCCTCTTATCAATTGTTTAAATATGAAGATAATGGTTATCCTTGATTTGGATTTTTCCAAAGAGAGTTATTTTCCCCATGGAATTTAATTATTTATGGGGTATTGAATCTCCAACGAAGGCAAGCCTTCATAGTTAATTATATTGTAAGGGACTTGAGTTTCCTATGAATATTCTCAATTAAAATAATGATTGAAATTTTATTTAGAATTTTCAAATAGCGATATGAAATGAGTGATATTAGAATTTCAATCGAGAATGGATCAATTTAGAACACTTATTTTGAAGGCCAAAAGATGAGAAGTAGTCGGTATTTTGAGATTCTAAAACAATTTAGAAATACCCCAATCTATCCTATGTATTGAGCTTTAAATTTTGGGTTAGAGAAAATTTTAATTTGAGTTATTATTTTATTAAAAATTTAGGATTAAATTCCTGATGTTGAGAACTTATGATTTTGGGTCCGCCCCAGATCCTAAATCTAAGTTGAGAACTAAACGATAGTGACCAAAACCTAACTAATGAAACACAAATATGGGCATGCCTCGGCCTAGATTAGAGTAGCAGCTAAATCACATAGCGCTTTAAAACAATGTATCCAGTCATTATGAAAAATGTATAGGTTATTATTTAAGTTTTTTATAAAATGGGGCTGGTGTCTACATAAAGTCTTAATTTGCCCCTTTACTTATGAATGTTGAATATGCTCGATGCAATTAAAATTTTATTAATTTCTAAATAGTTTCAATATAATACATGTTGATTGACATAGTATGCAAAAATCATAATCTTCCAACCAACTTGTTTGAACCTATGTTGTTTAATTGGATCTTAATTTCTAAGCCATATGCTTCTTACCTAACCCTTGATGACCTAGTACTCCTCCTTAAGATTAGCCAATTAAATTTTAAGTATATTATAATATACTCTTTGATCTTTTATCTTAAAGTCTTCACTAGTTGATCCTAGGTAGATTATGTGTTTCCCTTTAGGTTTTGTTACTTGATTCTAGATTTAGTCTAGTGGATTCCTTGATCTTGAGACTTTAGCTTTCCCTATTAAGATTCTAGACTTTAGCTTTACCTCTAGATTTCTCAAAAATTTTGGAATTGTATTGTGCTTAAGGTTAATAGAATTAGTTCAATTTCAGATGCATAAAAAAACTTCTGAAAAAATAAGCAGTATTAGTTTTATGGAAGATTTATCTCATTAAGCTTTTGTTTGAGACAAATTTTTATCACTATTTTTTTACTGTTTTAAAGGAAGTTTCGTACTAAAAAATTGTTATAGAAAATAATAAGAAAGTTGTCCCAAATGAAGCCTAAGTTTACTAATAATTTATGTAAAGGCTTCATTAAAATTGCAAATCTCAAAGTACCAACAAATGTTAAGAGTCTGTTTTGGATAAAATGGGAATGCTATTTTTACTCATTAATATCAAAATCTGATAGGTAAAGAAATTTTTGAAGGCTAAGTAGGGCTTCGTTTGGGACAGCTTTACTATTACTTTCTAAAATAATTTTTTAGTACCAAGATTTCTAGTTCAAGAAATTGTTATACTAAAAAACTTCTTTGAAAAACAGTAGAAAGCTGTCCCAAACAAAGCCTAAGAAAAAAATTGATATGCAACTTCTTTCAATGATATTTAAGGTCATTGCTTTTCTCATATTGTTATAGTTCTGAACTATATATGTAGACTGTTAGCCTGTTAAATTATTGGAGATTTTTTTTATTTAATAAAATTTCCAGTAGTTTGGCCTAAATTACAATAATTTGGAATGATTGTAATTAATAAATAAAAAAATTGAACTATTTTGCAAATAAGGATAACTAACACAAAGCTTATGTAAAAGTTTCTTAAACCCCTGAAAATGTTATTATCTGTAATGAAATTATAGTATTACTACTAGCATTTGTTATAATATTCTGATATGGTTTTAAGAGAAATCTTACTTAGTATCAAGTTTCAAGAAATACTAGAAAAATATTAGGTTAAATTTGTATCTTTATTTGAAATTTTTTTAAATTATAATCATTTTTTGCTTATAAAAAAACAAACTATAAAGGGATATCATATATTTATCATGAATTTGTTGTTCTCAAACAACACATGACAACCAACCACCCTTCTTTTTGGATCAAAAAGGAAAGAAAAAAGATATGGAGGCATTAAAAATTCTCATAGAGGTCGATATGTATGGATAATTTTTTTTTTTAAGTTATTGAGAGTGATCCATCAATAAAAAATCCACTTGATCCAACACAAAACTCTATGCATATTAGAATAAGAAAAATTTGGATTCAAAATCAAGACCATCTAAACTCTAACTTACTAAACTTTGGCTTCGTTGAGACAACTTTTTTTATGCTTTCTAATATAACTTTATAGTACAAAAAATTTCTTGAATTAGAATTTTTTTGTAATAGAAAGCTATTTTAGAAATCAGTAAAAAAGTTGACTCAAACGAAGCTTTATTGTCAATTTGAACTTTTTGACAAGACAAACTCGTTGATGCCAAAAGGAATCCAATCCGACTCAAAATGAGCCTAAGTAGAGCACTTGAATTATAATTAGAATTTTTGGGAAATTAAATGGTTGACCAAATCTCCAAATCTTGCGTGTTTATATCGCTTGATTTGATATTGTTATGGCTTCGTTTGGGACAACTTTCTTATTGCTTCTTAAAGTGACTTTTTAGTTCAAAAATAAAAAAATTTAATTAAAAAACTATTTTAAAAGCAACAAGAAAGCCACCCAAAATAAAGCCTTAGACATCTAAATACTAAAAGAATATGATCAATATGAGCTGTCTGATTGAGTGGTTTTGATTTTAGCTATATTCACAAAGACTGATACTCCAAAAAAATTATAAATAGATCTCCGCTCTTTATATGGAGTCTATCAAAATATTAGTGAAAAATAGAATAATAAAGTGTTTGAGAAAAAATTTAAAACTTTTATTATTAGATTTATAGGAAGTATTATACTCTAAACAACTGCTCCAGTAATTTATAATAACCATATTGGGTTTAAAAGGTAGTATGAGGATTATCATCATTATTGTTCTTTGACTAATAGTGATCAAATAGAAGATTAATCTTAAGAAAAAGTAGAAGCAGCCAATAATTAGTCAAACAGATCATCTTTATTGAGTGGTGTTTAAGTTTTCATAGTCACATTATTCAGCTCTTTCTAGTTGTTGCATAACATCATTCTTTCAACTTTCATCCTCATGACAAGATATAGAGCATGCAATATGAATAATAAAAGTGACATAATTTAGATTGTATTATTAATACATCAATGAAAAATTCGTTTGAGCAAGCATGAATCTTGATGCATATTAGGTTTGGAAGCTTTCAAAATTAAAATCAAGATTACTCAACTCTAATTTAAGTAAATTTATTGTTGAACTTAACATTTCAATAAGAAGAACTCATTGATGTCAAAAGCGAGCCAATTTGATTTTAAATAAATCCAAATCATGCATTTCGAATGTGGTTAGAAACTTTGGGATATTTAGTAGAGAACCAAATGATTTCAAAATCTAGCATGCTTACATTTGAATTGAGTATCTTAATGAGCTAAATCCAATGAGCACAAGTGTAAAGATCATTTTTGCTCCAGGTTCGTCCGGGACGAAGTTGGATCGTCCCGGGACGATCTGTACAGGTTGTGTTGGAATTGTGGAAACTGAGCAGTTCATTTGGACGAAATTTGGATCGTCTGGACGAAAATTCTCCCGAGGACAAGTCGCCGGGGACGTTAATTAAATCTCGTCAGGACGAAATTTCTCCAGAGCTAGTGTAATATCAAAAATCTGCTCAAGGATCGTCCAGGACGATCTGGATCGTCCTGGAACGATCTGTGGAAATTTTGCTCCAGAATTTGCCCAGTTTTGCTCCAGGTGATTTTCTGTACATATCGTCCAGGCCGATTGGCACTGTAGAAAATATCGGCCTGAGAATAGTTCTGGGAACCGTCCAGGACGATCCAAAATGATGATTATTTTGGAAAACAAAAGAGAAAAGATAGATGAACTGCGCTATATTTGGATGTTTATAGTAGCTCTGTATTTGTTTTTCTGTCTTTGTTATATTTGGATGAAAGTTCTGAAATAAATTCCAAAGCTAGATCCTAAATTTGTTGGCTCCGTCGCGAACCGATGCGAGCGGGATCCATCCCGGTCGGGTTGGGTCGG